CTCTCTCTCTCTCTCTCTCTCTCTCTCTCTCTCTCTCTCTCTCTCTCATCCTATTGTCCTTTCTCAAGACCATCCTACAAGACCTATAAGGGCAAAATTAAGGGACTCATGGCTGCCTGAAGCCCTGAAGCAAAGAAACCTCCCTTTCTGATAAGAATTGTGGTCCTAAGAAAGTGTCAGAAATGTCACTTGTTTGTGCTCGAACAATATAAAGCTTGTCTGAAAATCAGAGGGCGGAGTTAGCCACTGTTAGTCATAGAGGCCAGGCAGTGGTGGCACACACCTTTAATCCCAGCACTAGGGAGGCAGAGGCAGACAGACCTCTGTGAGTTCAAGGCCACCCTGAAATACACGAGGTAGAAACAGTCTAAAAGAGAAACAGAACCGGGCGGTGATGACTCACACCTTTGATCCCAGCACCTGGGATCTCATGCCTTTGGTCCCAGGACTTGGGAGGCGCATACCTCTAATCCCAGCACTAGGGAAGAGGAAACAGGAAGGGGTATAGCTGGGCGGAGAGAGGAATACAAGGTAGGAGGAGACAGGAACTCGCCCTCTTTCAGGCTGGGGAGTTGGCATGGTAAAAAGTGGCTGTGGCTGGGTCCTCTGTCTCTCTGATCTTTCAGCATTTACCACAATATCTGAATCTATGTTTTTATTAAGACCAATTAGAATTCATGCTGCAGTCGCTCCATTCCCATGGGTCTTTTCTTTGCTGTTCTACTGCATGGCTTACCGGGCATAATCACAGAAGGGACATGTTAGAGTGAGGTAGCAAACACCCCAGCTTTCTGTCCATAGGAAAGGCCCAGGAAGTCTGAAAATACACAAGTAATCAAGCAAAGAGCTTAGCATACTGGCCAGGGCCTTGCGGAGGTGTGTATTTATCGCTAAATTTACCCACATGCTACGCATATGTCTATCTGACCCCAGCATCACTGCAAAACCTCTGGGCACTTGAGATGGGGATCACCATTCTAGCACAGACTAACCGCAGGGTGGAGCGTGCAGAGGACAGATCCAGATACACACTTTGAAAATGGAACCAGCCTGGAAACCACAACCCACAGAAGGCTGATCAGACTTCAGCCTGAGCCCACAGGGCTGAGGGTTGCTGAAACCCACCTGTCAGCATGCTCTCTACAACACCCATCAGCCTCGCAGCCTTGTGCCTGCGCGGTAAAGAAAAATGTCCCACAGAAAGCAAACACACACCAAACAAAACAGAAATTCTCCATTCGGTTAGGAAATGGCACTCAACAGAAGCGAGTTCTGGCATGGCACGGTGTTGAAGTCACCTGACGGATGTGCACAGTTTTGCAAGATCTCCCCGTGAAGACTGAAATCTCCTGAAAGGAATGGGAAATAGGCAGCATCGGAGAAACAATGCAAAACTGACCGAACAATTGATGGAAACTTAAAACTGTGGTATACAATACTGGAAGCATCTCTGAGTGAAACTGAGAGTGGAATTTCAAGGACCTAAGCTGGAGTCACAAAAGCCTGGAAGCCGTGCTGTGGAGAATCCAAGTCAGGGCCTCTAGAAGAGCGGAGAGGCATTTTCCTTACTCCAGTCCTACAGTACATTTTTAAATGACACTGAAAACCAAATTTCTTATCAGAAGAAATGGAGCCTGCTGTCCACCCAGAATTCTGTGTCCAGTGAGGGTCTCCTTAAGATGAAGGTCACTAGGAACAGGTGAGGTGAAGAGCTAAAAGACAACATCTGCCGAAGACAGCATCCACAGAAGACAGCATCCGCAGAGAACACCATCTACAGAAGACAGCATCCACAGAAGACAGCATCTACAGAAGACACCATCTACAGAGAACACCATCTACAGAAGACGGCATCTGCAGAAGACAGCATCTACAGAAGACAGCATCCGCAGAGAACACCATCTACAGAAGACGGCATCTGCAGAAGACAGCATCTACAGAAGACAGCATCCGCGGAGAACACCATCTACAGAAGACAGCATCTACAGAAGACAGCATCTACAGAAGACAGCATCCACAGAAGACAGCATCTACAGAAGACAGCATCTACAGAAGACAGCATCTACAGAAGACAGCATCCGCGGAGAACACCATCTAAGGAAGACAGCATCTACAGAAGACAGCATCTACAGAAGACAGCATCTACAGAAGACAGCATCCTCAGAAGACAGCATCTACGGAAGACAGCATCTACAGAAGACAGGTTCTACAGAAGACAGCATCTACAGAAGACAGCATCTGCAGCAGGCCAGTTCTCTTAGGAGGGAGAGTGTGCAAAAAAATGTTCACACATACTCCTAACACTGTCTGTGGGCTTCAATGTCTGTAGAGTTAATACCCAGGACACCCACTAGGTGAAGGGTGAAAGAGAGAGGTATAACTCAAACACAGAAAGGCTTCTGTGTGCCACCTGAAGTTAGGGAAGATGGCTCCAGTATAGACTGCAAGGGATGCATGGGTGTAAAATCACTACAGCCATCAATAAAATCGTTTGTTTGTGTTTTGGTTTGGCTGGTTGGTTTCATTTGGGGTTTTGAGACAATCTCTCTATACAGCCAAGGCTGTACTGGAACTACCTCTGTAGACCAGGCTAGCCTTGAACTCAAAGAGATCTGCTTGCCTCTTGCCTCTGCCATGAACCACCACACTCAACTCAAACAACAAATAAAATTATATTAAAAGATTCAGTCAAAAATTCTATAGATAGGTTCAAATACACTACTAACAATAATCCAAAATATAACAAGAAAGTAGAAAAGAAACATGGAAATTGAGACATAAAATAAAAGTAAATTACTTTTAATTATAGATTAATATATTTATTATGGCATATAATATATGTTATATATTATACATTATGCACTGATACTTTATATATTATCAGTATAGTTATATTTTCTTTAAATGTTTTCATCAAATATGTCAGCTAAAGGGCAGAGATTAAAGTATGATCCAACTTCATGTAATAGTTCAAGCAACTTCACGGCATAGATGTAGAACAAGATCGTCGCAGGAATGCTAACTATGGTAGCTGTGGTGGGCTCTGTGGGCAGCAGAACAGAGAAAATTACTAGAGGATGCAGATGGCCTTAAACAGGGGTCAACTCACCAGACAACTTCCACTCCTGAGCATATAATCACGTGACAACAGACTCATATACATCATACAAAACCCATGGAAGAAAGGAACGGAAGGAAGGAGAAGGGATAGAGGAGAAAGAAGGAAGGGGAGGGGAGGGCAAACTCCCCAGTAATTGATCCACAGATCAGAAGTCACCACGCACGAGAACTGAGCAATACTGTCACCCACTGTATCTAACTGGTGTTTATAAAATGGCCCAACTAGAAACAACTAAGCACACATTCCTTCCAACTACAGATGGGGCATTCTCCAAGACAGGCACATCTAGGCTACGAAATAAACTACAAATGTTCCAGAGTTGCAATCATTCAACTGCCTTCTCCGATGATCACCTAGAAAACAGTATGGAATTCTAGAAAGAACCTCTTCTAAATAATGAGAGTATCATGCCAGAAGTGACAAGGGAAACTAGAAAACATTTTGAGTCAAATAACGCGAAAATATAACTGATCAAAACCCACGAACTTCAGGAAACTGGGCAGGTGGGAGGTCGATGCGAAAGGGAAGAAGGTTTCACAGCTCTCAGGCAGGTTTCCTCCCTGAGAGGGAGAGCATGCAGACTGGTCGGCCAGTGATGTTTGCAGGGAGTGATGGAAATCCGTGTCAACGTCAGAGAAGCACTCAGGACTCCAGAGCCTCAGATCCACGGAAGGGGTAAAGCCCCAGCTATACCTGTCTAGGGCAAGGCTCAGAGAGGTGGCAGAGCCTTCCTCTGGTCCAAGTGCAAATGTTGGCCATGCGTGCAGAAAATGCCCACCATAGCGGTCCCCTATGTTCACGATGACTGCTCCCGTACAGAGCCTGGTCCTACTGAGATGAATTCTATCTGACTCCTTGTTCAGTTATTAATAATAACCCTGCCTCCTTTTTATCTGTATGTAATATCCCAACCGACAGTGTATATAAACACACTGAGCTTCCCAAGGTGCTGAGGCACCTTCATCAGAGAGCCCAAACCACCTGTGAGTAGTTTTTCCACTCCATGTCTTACCTTATTCCGTCACTGTCCCAGCCAGGTTCATCCCTGAAGCCACGCTGGACCAAGCATGGCTTGCACCGGGTGCACTGAAGAGGAAAATCCAAAGACCAGTCACTGCCAACTAAGGATCAGAGCAGGATCTCTTTAGGGTCACATGGCCCACAACTTGGGGAATTTGAGGAAAATCAATCACTTTCAGACTCGTCTCCCAAATGTTCAGCTCTAAAAAGAAACACTGCATTCCAATGTAACACTGGTTTTGTTACCATGACAATGTGAACTCAGCCTGTTGGGAGCCACCACTGTGAGGCTCTGGCGTGTCAGAACCCCTGGCTCCTTCTTGTTCTAACCTTCATTGTTTCCTTGCTCAAGGAGGCCTCATGAGGCAAGATGGCTGCTAATGGAAATCATGAAACATCCATTCCATCCAGGAGCTGGAAAGAGATGGAGAGAAACACACTTTGAGGGACCATCTCCAACATGCCTTCCGCTTTACCCTTTCGTTTGGGCTTTGATTGCGCAAGTAGCTCAAGGCAAACTGAAAACTAAGCTCTTTGACCAGTGTTCGGATACGTATGTAACACGGAACAGGAAAAAAATTGATAAAGCACGGGCACGCTATCAGCAGTGTTTGCGGAGAAGAGTCCTCAAGATGTTCTCAGAATAGTTTGTACCTCTGGGTGCCAGCGTTCCCCGTGGGACCATCTGGGAAACCCCACTTTCAGCCGCGGGTCCATCTGGACTCAGTTGCCGTGGATTTGGCAGAGTCTGACAAACTGCAAAGTCCTTCATTTCTCCCCATAAACTGAGACACCCCGCTCCGTGTTCATGCAGAACCGTCTGCACCCCCTGTCCTAATCTCTCTCCTCCCCAGGACACATCAGCTCAATGTTTCCAAACCTGAAGCAAGACAGCGGCCACCTACGAGAAGTTAAAATGGGCCCTGGTGAGCGTCTTCTGAGACTCGGAGAAGCTGAGGTGCCCCGGCCCTGAGGTCCTACCTTGCTTCTCCTGTGTCTTTACTTCCTCTCTGCCTTCTTTTTCCTCCACCATCAGTGTCTAACCGATTCACAATTACCTTTGTGTGAAACTTCAAAATATCTCAGGATTTCGTGAACCTTTGCTGCCTCTTTGTCAGTCAGTTGTCTCAGGGTCCGCAGGAGACTGGCTCCGGGTCCGTGTATAAAGTTCTTAGCATCTGCAGATCCTGTGTGCTTCCTCCTGTGTTCTTTAAATATGTCTAGAATTCTGTTAATATTTAGCGCAAAGTTAGTGTGATATAAATAGTCATACTGTTTAGGCAATGAGGGCAGGGAAAGAAACCTGTGTGTGCTCAGTGCAGGTGCAGATTCTTCCTCAAACCAACTTTCGGGCTTCCTTTTGAGACAAGGCCTCACGTTGCCCAGACTGGATGTATAGCCAAGGACGGCCTTCACCTCCTTCCTCCTGTTTCCACCTCTCAAACGCCAGGGTTGAAGGCATCAAGTACCCAAAATCTTTCTATTTGGAGCCTAATTGAAACCATACAGATATGCGGACACGGGGCTGAGTAAAACCCCAGTTGCAGCTGTCCTGACTCTTTAATATATCCTTTTATGTTAAAAAGCTAGCCTATGTCTATGTGTACAAGTGTGTACCGCATGTGTGCATAAGTCCAGGGATGTCAGAAGAGGACATCTAAATCCTCTTACCCTAGAGTTACCAGTGGTGTGAGCCCAGTGGGTGCTGGAAACCACACCACCCAGGCCCTCTCTGCAAGAGAAGTACTCTTAACCTCTGAGCCACCTCTCCAGCCCCTTTAAAATATCCTGGACTTTCAAAGCCAAAGCAAGACCTAGCACTCTCCTGGGTTAAAGGCAGGAGTCAGCAAGTGTTTACTATAAACAACTGGGAGAAGCCAGTTTCAACTGCCCATTTCATCTCCTTCATTCTGCGTTTAGGACTCCAAAGCATTCACACAGAAACAAATGTTCATGATTTTGCCAATAAAACTTTATTTTCTTACTTATTTTATTATTCTCTCATACAGTAGTAAATCCTAATCATAATTTCCCCTCACTCCACTCCTCCTAGCCCCCCACAACTATTCTTCCCCAGATTTATTCTTTCTCCATTTCCCTTCAGAAAAGAGCAGGCCTCGCAGGGATATCAACCAAATACAGCATTGGAAGATACCAGACTGGGTACAAACTCTCGTACTAAGGTGGAGCAAGACAACCCAGTAGTGAGAAAAGGTTCCAAGACCAGGCAAAATAGTCAGAGACAGTCCCCGCTCCCACTATTAGGAGTCCCACAAAAAACACCAAGGTGATGACTATAACCTATATGCAGAGGGCCCCGCTCATACCCATGCAGGCTCTGTGATGGCTGCTTCAGTCTCTGAGCCCCTCTGAGCCCTAGTTAGTTGGTTTTGTGAGTTGTGCTCTCCTGGTGTCCTTGACCCCTCTGGCTCCTACAATTCTTCCTCCCTCTCCTCTGTGGGGTTCACCGGGCTCCAAAGGGACGGACCCAATGGAGATCTCCAATTGAGGCTCTCTCTCTCTCTCTCTCTCTCTCTCTCTCTCTCTCTCTCTCTCTCTCTCTGCCTGATGTTTGACTGTGGGTCTCTGCGTCTGCTCCCAGCTGCTGCTGAAGGAAGCCTCTCTGATGACAATTAGACTAGCCATCGATCTCCGAGTATAGTGGAAAATCATTAGAAATTGCTTGTTGATTCTTTTTCAAACTTCTTCTTCTTCTTCTTCTTCTTCTTCTTCTTCTTCTTCTTCTTCTTTTTTTCAAAAACAAACCATGGGCTAAACTGATGCACCAATACCCATTTACTAATCTCTGGTCCTCGCTGCCGGCTTTACAGCGTATTTTGCTATCTTTGTCATTATTCTTCATAGGTGAACAAAACCCCTTCAAAGCTCACTGTCCTGTATTGCATTACACACCACTTTCAACCGCATCATTTCATCTGGTCACAGATCTGAGAACACACACTGGAGCGACTTTTCCTCCACCGAGCTGTGGGGTGATCATCCTGAACAGCTGCCATCAATACTTCTACATGTCTGACCTTTCGAGATAGCCATCTAGGGGCAGAATTCCTCCACAGATACCCTTTTCATTCCTACTGGAAAACTAAACACTCTAATTAATGAATTCCCCCATTAACCGTCTTCCTTCTCTCTGAACTTTAGCTAAGAATATAAGGACAGCTAAGTCAAAAATGAATCAAGTTTGCACTTCCCTTTCTGTCTCATGGAATATCAGGGCTCAAAATGTGTTTATTTGTTCTGGAGGTTTTCCAGGGTGGGAAGGAGGCACTGGTGTCACACAAGACCTACAGGATATAACTATGGAAAAGGATGGAATGAACCCACTGTAATGTAGAAGTCACAAACTGTGGTCTGTCCAGGGCCTGGATCTAACCAGGCAGCCAGCTGTTCAGCCTTCAAAGAAACTTTAAACAATATGAGACGCACACACACACGCGCACGCACGCGCGCGCACACACACACGCACACACACACACACACACACAGGATTTCTATATGAATACTCAGATGCCCAGTTTATCTAACAAATGACCATCCATGGACCTAAACTCTCTCACCAAGAACAGCAAGCTACTCCTGACCAGTCCCCGTCAGAGAGGAGCTAAGTTCTCTGTGCCTCTCCGATGCTGTTGTCTGGCTCTGACGTAAGCAGATGACAACTCTCTTCAATAAAGGCATGTCTTCTGTGCTCTTTGCACAACCAGGAGCTGTTAAATAAGTGACTGAACCCACGTGGCCCCTGGAAACATGCAACACACAGCTCATTTATAGACCTGTAGGCATTTGAGTTTTAGCCAAGTGCAGACCACAAAGTCAGGCAGGAGTTGGATTTGAGTTCTCAGCTCAGTTCTCAATTAGTGCAAAGGCCCCTCTAAAACAGGGTGCACATCTGTTTCCCTGACTCAGTGTCTTCCCTTACAAAATAAAGAGTTTTTTCTCATCTTTTTTCTTCTATTTATGTGTATGTGCATATGTGTAATTATATGTGTGGGGGTGCACTTCAGGCAGGAGCTGTCAATCAAAGCCTGAACTTCTCTTGCCAGTCAGCCTGCCTTGGGACTCCCGCATCTTTGTCTTTCAGAGGCCAGTCTTACAGGCCACTCTGCCATGCCCATTCCCACTTATGTGTTTGCATTTTGGGGATCCCAGTTCTAATCTTCTTGATTGCTGGCAATTGCTTTCGCTGCCAACCATCTTCCCAGCCCTAAATACACGTTTATGTTTAAGTTACAGTGTTTAAACTGCAAGGGAGGGGGAAGTAATTAATTGGGAAGAATCCTGCTATCTTAAATGGGTCTGAATTGAAAGAACCAACCCTGCGAATAAGGAGCTGAGAAGGTTAAGCTGCAGAAACACACCTACCATGGAGCCAGATAGGACAGCAGAAAAGGCAGGGTTGTAGCCTTTACCTCTGCAGTTCCTGTTCACTGTCCCCAGTCCTCACATAGCAGCTACATGGCTTTCTGCTGCTGACAGCAGGTCAGGGAGCAGGCAAGCCTGGGAGAAGAAGACCGAGAGACCGTGTGCCTAATATAATTACAGTCCCAACAAGTCTGTGCCGAGCAGGGGAAGAGGCAACATTCTGCACGGCACCTGACTACACAGTATCCAGGGGTCCAGCAGCTCTGTCTGAAGCAGCAGTCCTACAGGCCTCCCAGTGACTCCCTGACTCCTTACTATGCTTCAGATGCAATGGATGTCTCTCCCAAGGCACCTAGAGCCCGCAAGCACACATGACAAGGTGATCTGTAAACTCCCTTAAAGCAGAAACTTGGCCATTTGAACACCAGGGAAATTAGAGGCGTTCCTATTGGCTGGCTCTGGTTAGAGATTCTAACTAGAAGGTGTCTGTAAGAGAAATCTTGTCAGCCAACTGAGCCAGGAGGATTGGTCCCCTGAGAAAGGAAAGAGCGTGAGTTTGCCATTCTCATTGACTGCTGATAAAGGCCTGGCTCTGGGGTCACGCACATCAGAGCCTGAAGCTGAGACAATGACATTCGTGTTGACAGCTGATCATCACCCAGCCTTCAGCAGATGGCACACCTCTGCCATTGGAGAGCTGAGGGCATCTCTCAGACCAGCTCTCCTGTGCAGGTCAATATATGTCTTCATCCCCCATCCAGCACAGGAGAGAGTAGATGCGCAGACAGGCCCTAGTGAGCACTTAGCGTGAGTGATCAGCAGGAAGAAGCAAGGAATGTGAGAAAAACGCTATCATATTTACCAAAGAGTTGTTCTGAATAACAAGCCACTTGGGTCCATGCAGCTGGAAGCACGCTCTGTAAGTACCACAGTGTTTAAGCTGCCCTGTGCTAAGCATGCAACAGCAGGAAGACCCGACCTTTCAGAAATCACCAACTCTGGAGGTTTCAGGGCCATTTTCTCCATTCAGCAAACACCCCAGCATCACTCCATTTTGTTTGCTAAGTGTCTCCGTGGGACTTGAGTTCAGACAGGAACGTGCAGCTTGATCAGCAAACCAAAGCTTTCTTTTTGCAAAACTTCTGTTTACCACGCCTTAATTAATTCGCCATGTGCGACAATTCATGGGTGAAATGAGGAGGTTGGATCTTGAGGTGGAGACTATACAGTGGGATCAGCACCTTCTCAGAAAGGCCCGGGGGACTGCACAGACCCCTTCCACCATGTGGAGACCCAGCAGGGAAGAACCAACCATCTAGTACCAGCAAGCAGATCTTCCCAGTCACCAACTTGGGCATGGCTTGCTCTAGGACTTCAGAACCTCCTTACCATTCCCAAACCACTCAATTCACAGTATTTTGTTTTATCAGTCCAAACAGACTAAAGTAGCTATTGATAATCAAAAAAAAAAACCTTAAAATGAAAAACTTTAAATCTCCACTCTCTCAGAGCGAATGAGTGACTGGAGGTCACTCATTAGAGGGGCTGTCTCTCAGCCAAAGGAGGTCAAGGCCCCAAGAAAGCATAGAAAGAAACGTTAGAAGGTTTGGGTGTAACGTCCACGTTGTTACTATCAGAGGACTCAGGGAGACTCCCTGATTCACCACCATTAAGACACACACCACCATCTTCTGAAGACAGATTCCAGCAGCCAGCGAACCAGACCAAACCTTCTTTGATGCATATGGGTCCTCCAAATCACATGGAGAACTCAGCCAACACCGGAGAAAGTTGTCTGTCCCAGAAG